ATTTTAAAGTTGGGGTGTGTAGCGCCTAAGGGGTGACTCACCCCTTCACTAAAATATAGTGGTTCTAGTTCCCCTAACTTTATAACATTTGTGCCAAACGGCGTTTCTCCAACTTCTTTATTTTGCGAGATATTCGCATTGAAAGTTTTCAAATTGTACCCTGTATACAGGCTGTCCCTCAGTGCGTAATTAATCGGTAGCTGTTTTATTATTAGAAATACGAAGAAATATTTAATATAAAAGTTGTATGACTATATTTAACAAATATTCTTAAATATACAGAGTGGTCCATAAACGAGGTGCTGACCAAATCTATACTTTTTAAAGCAAACACCCTGCAGGTAGTAATACATATTTGATTGTTTTACATCGTCAAACAATTTTAATTGACTTCATTCATTTGCTATGTTGTATATAGGGTGTGTCAAAACGTGAGGTTACGATTTTCTCAATTTTTTAAATGGAGTACCCTGTATTAATTAATTGGTGGTATGACATAAGGGTATTCCATTTAAAAAAATTAAGAAAATCGTTATCCCTCATTTTAAAACACCCTATATACAACATAACAAGTACAAGAAGTCTATTAAAATTTTTTGACGATGTGAAAACAATTAAATATAAAAAATTATAAGTTTGGTCAGCCCCTCCTTTATGGACCACCCTGTATATTTAAGAATATTTATTAAACATGGTCATACAACTTTTATATTAATTTGTTTTTCCTATTTCCAATAATAAAACGGCTATCGATCAATTACGCACTATTGGGACAGGTAAATTTATAACGAATTTTATGCCAAAATATTATACAGTGTATTGCATTTGACAAAATTGAATAAATTAAACTTAAAATTAGCCATATTTAAGACATGTTTCAAAACACTCTGTATAAAATAAATCAGTTTTATCACTTCGGAAATGGAATGGTCTACAAATATCAACCAGAAGTCCCTCTTTTGTGAAAAATGTTGTTATAAAATAATTATTAATCTTAAGTTTTATGAAATATAGGGTGTTCAAAAAGTTTTGAATAAAATTGTTTCGAAATAGAGTGCGTTAACTAATAATGACGATTAACTAACATATACATATTTTTAATTTAAAGTCTTTACTGTAAGGAAAGATATTTAGAACATATGTATTTATGAAATTCACTTTATCACCCTGTAGAATGAAAACTGGGATGTTTATAGGAAAATTATATTTAGCTTTTCTTTATAATACACCGAGGGAAATTTTTTGCTATGGTAGCAAAAAATGTATTAACCCTTAAAAAAAACTCTATTAAAATAGGCGACAGCCAAAGTACTTTGCTACGGTTAATAAATTCACTTTTTTGGAATTACTTTTTAGTCCCTAAAAACTTACTTTTTAGTTTTTATTAATTTTAGTGGTTAGAAAGTAAAATTTTACTCACTAAAAAGTAGTTTCTTATGGTTAAAAAGTAGGATTTTAGTGGTTAAACAGTATTTTTCTTGCAGTTAAAAAGTATTTTGTTACCTTGAACAGGCAGTTTCAATTGTTAAAGAATTATTTTTATCTCTTAAAAATAGATTTTACTGGTTAAAAATTAGGCTTTTAGTGGTTAAAAAATAGTTTTTATTAATTAAAAGTAGTTTTTAATGGTTAAAAATTAGGTACTGATTAAGAAATTACTTTCTTTGCAATAAAAATTTTTTTTTTTACCTTAAAAAGGTAGTTTTAATTAATAAAAAATTAATTTTTACCTTTAAAAAAATGTTTTTAGTGGTTAAAAAGTAGTGTGTAGTGGTTTAAAATTAACCTTTTGCCTTTAAAAAGTAGATTTTAATGATTATACAGTTAATTTTTACCTTTAAAAAGTATTTGTTGATGGTTAAAAGTAAATTTTGCTATTTAGGGCTGGTTTCTTCAGCACTTAGGCCGTTTTTTCTATAAAAAAATAAAGTTCAGTTAAAGTCGAAATACAAGAATGTTTTGCATGTATTAAATGTCAAATTTCCAGATTTACTGAGGATAACTGAACTTTATATTTCTTCATAATGAAACCAGTTCTGTAAAAATAGAAAAATTAACTTTTTAGCCGTGCATTAGAAACTATATATACTTATTAAAGCAAATTTACCTAATATATACCTACCTATATAATTTACATAAATGTTTATTTTACCTGTGGTGAAAATACAGATCAACATAGGAAAGGAAGGGTTTCAAAAATAAAAGAGACCATTATTTTGTAATAAATATATTAGTTATATTGTTAAATAAATATTTCAGAAATGTATTTGAATTTTAAAAATTCAGTAGGTTATGTAATATAAAATTATTATTTGATAATTTAAACTTATTTGTCTTTAGACGTATAATAACGTAAGGCATATAGTATCAAGAAATTTCAAATGAACAGTTAGTAGCTTTAAATTAATCCGGTATTTATTCTTTGTGAAAAATCCTAAAAGAAATTTTATTCTAAATATATTGTTTTCTGTTTATTATAATATAGAATAGAATAAGAAAATCCATTCCATTAGGATTATTAACTAAAATAGGTAGGAACATAAAAACATAACATTCTTCTATCTACTAGGTGGGCCATTCCAAACGATCCTTCCTTAATATCTAAAAAAAAAATTATATTTTATTTATACTATCTCAGAAACGCAAATTTCGAATTTTAATAAACTTAAGCACCAGTCGTGGATCCTAGAAACCCCCTCCCTTAGCTCAGTAAGTTAAGAAATTAGATAAAAATTAATGTCAGGTATTTTTGAGAAATGTTTATATTTAGGTTTTTAGGGTCTGTAAAAGCTAAGGTTATATTGTTAAATGCAACAAAAAATGAATCAGTCTCCCGAAACCTTTATAAAACTGTCAAAATTCATTAAAAAAACTTACTTTTTAGTCCCTAAACATGTACTTTTTAGTTTTTATTAATTTCAGTGGTTAGAAAGTAAAATTTTACTCACTAAAAAGTAGTTTTTTATGGTTCAAAAGTAGGTTTTTAGTGATTAAACAATATTTTTCTTGCAGTTAAAAAGTATTTTGTTACCTTGAACAGGCAGTTTTAATTGTTAAAGAATTATTTTTATCTCTTAAAAATAGATTTTACTGGTTAAAAATTAGGCTTTTAGTGGTTAAAAAATAGTTTTTATTAATTAAAAGTAGTTTTTATTGGTTAAAAATTAGGTGTTTTGTTAGAAATATCTGTTAACGTCACTGGAACAAATAAATTTAACCCTCAGTACTCAAAATAGCCTCCAAGTTCCATCAAAATAGAAAAAGGAATTTCTGATATCTTAATGAAAAAACTTTGCAAGATTTTTCGCTTTATCTACTGTTTTTTCCTTAATTAACGTTAAAGTGAGGGGTCAATACATTTGAAACCGATAAATTAGTAGATATAAAATACTTTTATATTATACGTTATGTACTTACCCTTAAAATTCTCAACAAAATCTTGTAATCCCCAATTATTTAACTTCTCTGTGTAATCAATTGGAAACAAACACAATGTGTGCCCAATAAAAATGCAAAACTGGCGTCAGACCTACGATTTGCCTATCTGCCAACGTAACCGTAGGTGACCTTTGCTAGCGGCTAGGATAATTATAACTAAAACTAAAATCACAAATCGCCGGCTTGTTCTTGTCAGTACTTGCCGGTATACTATAGACCTTTTATTGCGATATATACCGGGAACTGGTGGGAACGGACTGAACGGGGTATGCCGAATACAGGAAAATTTTCTCGAGTATAGACGAAGAAGCTCTCGATCGAAACCGATCGTTATTTTCTAAAGATATTTTTTATTGGGCTTAAAAAGCGAATTGTTATGATGAAAAATATACCTATTAATATTTTGAATTTCTACTACAGAAAATAAATGTTTAGTAATTAAAAACTATTTTTAAGAGCAAAAATTATTTTTGCTGGTTCTATAGACTGAAAAAAAATATTTGCAATGGTAACAATTTTTTTTTGTATGGCGACAAAACTACTTTAAAAAAGCATTTTATTTAGTTGCATGAATGTATTTTTTTAATTGCAACTAAAAATTTATTTGTGGTAGCAAGAAATTTCTCAACAAAACACTTTTTAAATATAATTCTGTCAGTGTAAGTTAAGATATACAAATCCACAAAATTACGGTACTTTATTCTGAAACACCCTGTATAAATAAATAAAAATTAAAAACTTCATTATAAAACTCATTCGTTTTTCTGAAAATACACATAAGAATTCTAGACGTTGCATTGTTACCATATTTTAAGATAACACGTTATGCTTTTACCAATAATGTGAGAAGTGCCCCCTCCCCAAGAAAACAACCTAGCTACGCGTTTGTAAAAGCCTCACCTTTAAAATTATTTAGGGTGTATAGTTTTAATTGAAATTCCCTGTATGTCTTCACCTTTTTATTAGAATATAGAAAATATAAAAATTCGTACTTGTTTATTTTTCTTCAAATGACAATTTTTACGTCTGTATCATTTTCGGTTATAGACATTTAGATAAAATATACAAATAAAATTTATCCCACCCCTGTAACTAAAAATTCACAAAATATGTTTGCGTATTTTTATATTTGTAATCACTTCAGTTTTTGAGAAATTAGGTATAATATTTACTTTCAATTTTATATTTAGTTTTTTTTAAGATTAGGATTTATCCTATTATATAAACATTTTGTTGTCCTCTTGGGAACAAATTTTTTAAAAATGTTTTGTTGGTGGGTGTATGTGGTATATAGACATTATATGTTCAAAATTTTTAATTTTAGTTCTAGCGGTTTAATCAATATACGATGCTTTAAAAAAATATTGGCTGATGGCTTTAATATTTATTGCATCATAATTCGCCTTAAATTCACGGTAAATCCAACTACCTACACACCTGTGAAATAACCCTTTAACCATGTTTCCGATGTCGTTTCTATATCCGTCCCAAAGAAAAAAAAAAACTTAAATTTATTTACTTATATTTAAGCGTTGACGATCGCCTATGTTTTCCCACCAAAACCGCCGTCGTATAAAAGTTTGTCTCAATGGTTGGAAAATACAGTAACAGTCAAAACGCGGCAGATAAAAAACGCTCGGTTACCAGACAGTTACTGGTCGCGTAAAACATTCTCTCAGTTAGATACATATTTTAAAAAACAGTTAAATTATTCTTATTTTTTTTTTTTTTTTAATAAGTGGATAAATAAAAACTTGCAATGGATGTGGAGGAATTCAGAGTTAGGGGTAAAGAAATGGTGGACTACATATGTCAATACATGTCGAATTTGGGGAATTATAGGGTGACACCTGACATTGAACCAGGATATTTGAAAAAACTTCTTCCTAAAGAAGCTCCGGAAGAGCCAGAAGAATGGGACAATATTATGGAAGATATGGATAAGAAGATTATGCCTGGGATTACACATTGGCAGCATCCCAGGTTTCACGCATATTTTCCAAGTGGAAATTCTTATCCATCGATTTTGGCAGATATGATGTCGGATGCCATTGGATGCATTGGATTTTCATGGGTAAGTTTCTATTTATTAATTTAAAAATGCCTTGAAACATTTTTTGGGAAAGAGGAATGAATAAGTATTTATTAACATTACTTGATTCTTCAAAAAGGTTGCGCTATAAGCTTTTTTACCTCCAATATTCGTAGAGCAACGTACCTTTACATTTAAGTATTAGGTTTATTAAAAAAATACTATATCACACATAAAGTATGATCATAAAATAATATCTAAGAATTTTCAACTAGCAAGCCTCTTATTACTGTAAAATTTAAATATTTGCAAGGAAATATATTTTTATTAATATATTTTATTTTTTTGTGAAATAATTTTTTTTATAAATAAACCTTGTCTGTAGTTCACGCTGAAAGGATGTTGACCTATTCTATTTTATGTTCTAATTTGAATAAATAATAATCAATTTAATAAATTCCGTCTGTCAGAATTTTAATTTATTCATTTACAGAATCCCTACTCAACAATTTGAATAAAAAATAAATAAACATGTTTACCGCTTAAAACATTGGTCACGCAAAATATTTTCAATTATACAAATACAAATTCACTTTTAAAATGAAGTATGAACAACTTTATTATTATTATTATTTATTATTATTAGGAAAACAAATTATTCTTCATAAAAAGTCTAGCATGGTCTAAATCCTAAAATACAACCATTAGATATTAAATTTTATTAGTCGTATACGAGGTTTGTCAAAAATAAAGATACTTTAGCAGCAAAATTCATATTTTTTGACTAATCTTATATGATATCTGATGGTTGTTTCAAGTTTTAAACAATGCAGAACTTTTTATGAAGAATAACTTTTTTCCTAAACTTAATAATAAAAAAAGTTTTTTATACGGTTCCAACTTCCTGAAACATATTGTATAATCGTAGTGTTTATTTTTCACTAGGTCTGTTTCAACAATTTTAGTTTACCTAACTAACTATAATATTTATTTGTTTCTAGCAGTAATGTAACAATTTTTATTTTCTAAATAATTTTAAATAGATGGTTATTAAAAGATTACAAAAACCAATACTAATTTGTTCTCTTCTTCAAATGTTTTTATTTAAAAAAAAAAAACCATTGCACAATATGAATACAATGATATAAATTATACCTCCTTCTAAAATTCCTACAAAAAAATGTATGGCTTGATTATAAATTTAAAATATGACGTCATAGCATATTATAAATCTAATTTTAATGACTTAACAAACTTTGAAATTCTTTTGGTTCTGTATTTAAAAGTATGATTACCTAAGCTATGTAGATAGCATAATAATTTAAAAGCAATTAGTCAAAATTTAAATGACGGTAATATTTTTATTAAAAAAAAAAACAGTGATGATTTCATTTTTAGAATTGTTTGTTTTTGAAATTATGATTGCAGGTTATATACATAAGTTTAAAAATTCTCATTGAGTACTACCTGACATGTTTTCCTAAATATATTTTTTTTAAACGGATTTTTTCTGTAGCAACTTATCCAACCAAATTTATTTGGTTGCTATTTGGCAAATAATTAACATAAATATCTATTTATTTTATTCTAGTTAGGATTTCCAATATTTAGGTTATTAAATTTATAATTTATGATTTGTTTTTTTTTTTTTTAACTGTACTGTGAGTGAAACAAAATTTCAAACTACTCATTTTCTATTTTGTTAGTTTTAAAATTTGGCAAGTTATAGTGCTTAAAATTACACTATATGGAATCGTTTGGTCAACTTTACTAATGAACATAGCTAATCTTTGTCATTTGTCCAGGAAAAAAATATAATTTAAAAATTATTTTCATCGGTTAACTCAGTTCAAAGCGGTTATGACAGAGCGATTTAAAAAATAGACGATGCGTAAAACTTAAAATTATTAATAAGGCAGAAAATATTTTTGACTTAAAAGAAAACTCATTCTTAAACAATGAAAATACAATTCTTTTTTCTGTGATGGGAAAAAGTTTGACATTTTATCTCTCTTGTAAGGTAACAAAATAACACCTTTTATAAAATTACTTTTTTACCGGTTTTTCGGGAAAAAAGTGAATACATAAACACAAGTAAGGGTAGATATTTTAGAATATTTTTTTCAATATGAAATCGTCGTTTTTCCCGTGACAGAAAAAATAGTGTATTAAACACGAAAAAATATTAGATTTTAGTTTCGAGTCGGGAGATAAACTTGAAATTTAAAACGTTTGTTTTCCGTAAAATAAACACTTTTTGAGATTTTTCGAATTACAAAAGATTTTTGGACTAGTTTGGGTCTATCTAGCTTTTTTATTTGTTTTATGATGAATTTCTGCTATTAAACTTAAATTCAAAACGTTTGTTTTCCGTAAAATATGCAGTTTCTGAGATTTTTGGAAATAGAAAACATTTTTGGACTTGTTTTGGTCTATCTAGCTTTTTCACCTATTTTATAGTGAATTTCTCTTATTTTAAACCTATTCAGCGTCATTAGTTAAAACCTTAAATTTTTACGTTTGTTTTCCGTAAAAATAAGCAGTTTTTTGAGATTTTTCAAAATAAAAAACATTTTTGGTCTAGTTATGGTCTATATAGCTTTTTCGTTAGTTTTATGATGAATTTCTGTTATTTTTAACCTACCTAGCGTGATTTCTTGTAACTTGAAAATAACCAGTTTTTGAAATTTTTAGAAATAGAAAACATTTTTGGTCTAGTTTTGGTCTGTTTAGCCTTTTCATCTGTTTATAATGAATTTTTGTTATTTTAAACCTATTTAGCGTCATTTCTTATAACTTGAAATTTAAAACGTTTGTTTTCTGTAAAATAACCAGTTTATGAAATTTTTCGAAAAAAAAAAAATATATTTTTGGACTAGTTTTGGTTTATATAGCTTTTTCAACTGTTTCATAATAAATTTATGTTATTTAAAATCAATTTAGCGTCATTTCTTAAAACTTGAAATTTAAAACGTTTGTTTTCTAAAAAATAAACACTTTTTGGACTAGTTTTGGTCTATCTTGCCTTTTCATCTGTTTTATAATGAATTTCTATTTTACACCTATTTAGCGTTATTTCTTAAAATTTGAAATTGAAAACGTTTGTTTTCCGTAAAATTAACACTTTTGAGATTTGTCGAAATACAAAAGATTTTTGGACTAGTTTTGGTCTATCTAGCTTTTTTATCTGTTTTATGATGAATTTCTGTTATTTTTAACCTATTTAGAGTCATTACTTAAAACTTTAAATTTTAACGTTTGTTTTTCGTAAAAATAAGCAGTTTTTGAGATTTTTCGAAACAGAAAAAATTTTTGGACTAGTTTTGGTCTATCTAGCTTTTTCGTCTGTTTTATAATGAATTTCTATTATTTTAAACCTATTTAGCGTTATTTCTTAAAAATTGAAATTCAAAACGTTTGTTTTCCGTAAACTAAACACTTTTTGAGATTTTTCGAAATACAAATCTAATACTTTTTCCCTTATATAATAAATAACTATTTGTATGTGATATATCACGCGACATAACGAAAAATTACAAAGTTAAAAACATTTTTAAGTATTTTTTTTAACGATTTTGTAAAAAATTTTCAAAATTGTCCAGATAAACAATTTGCGAGATATGGCCAGACGCCGCCCTTAAGTTAGAATATTTTAAATTGGGGTATGAGACAGAGTGTCCATGGTGGGCCGTAATTTCACATACTCTTCCTTGCCACTTTGTCCCAAGCTACCCTTGGTACAAAATTTTCAACATCACCCTGTATATCTTATGAAGGATTATGAAAGAGCACTCCTTTTTGGGTACATACATAATAAAATATGTTACACGTTATATAGGATAATTTTTGAAATATTTAAATTTTAAAAATTAATGTTTTCACGCAGATACCCGGTATATTAGTTTGCAATCCATTTTCTATTGTTCTAATTAATAAAAATTAAGACGTATTTTATATGGTGTTAAGTACAACTCTATTAGTTCAACCTTGGAGGATAAGTGAATGAAATAATATTTTCATACCATTTTAATATGCAAATTTATTATCTAAACATCAGAATTTAAAAAATCCACTGTCATTGTTTAAATTGTAGTTAGTACTTAAGTACTTATGGGGATTACCAGGATTTAATATGCAATTATTCAAGATAGACTTCATTTTTTTTTATTCAGTTACATAATAAAGATAATATTAAAAATAGTTCCGCTAAACAGATAAGGTTAATCTGTGTCATTTAATGCAAAATTGTGTAATTATGCCACTGAATATATTATTCTAAAGAACAAGTTAACTTTTCATACTACAATGTTTAAACTAGAACTCTCTCTTCTATTAGATTTTGTACTAGTTGTTTGTACGACTTAATAGGTACACAGTTTCCTATACATCTACGTGGTCCACATATATTTTGAACCACATATTTAAATAAAAGCCTTCATTTATGTTAATTTTTAAACATTTCAAACAAGAGACTGAATAAAATAGTTATCGTCTACAATATGATTATTAAACAATGCTTTGTACTACGAAATCAAATTAAAGATATAGGGTGATTTTTTAATTTTGATAATTTCTTCAATTATTCATACATAGGAACAACTCTGTATATTTTTTAATATTCACTACATATATTATTTGTCTAGGATAATACTAAATAGCGTATAAATAAAAGCTAAAATCCAGGTCCAGACAAAAAAATATCAGATTTTTGAATTAATCGCCCTGCATTTTGGGATTAAAGAATCAGAAACTTAATAAATATAAGTTACTCTTTATAATATATCGTGCTTATGTATTACCCTTTCTAACGTACTCATGTATTGTGTTTTCCACTTAAACTATTATTTTTCCAAATAGACACTTTGATAACAAAATCACATTTATAATATTCAAATTTTCCTAAACTATTTGTTTTTGTTACAGGCTGCCAGCCCAGCATGCACAGAACTAGAAACCATCGTTATGGACTGGCTAGGCAAAGCAATCGGCCTACCAGATGACTTCATAACCTCAAAAGAAGAGAGTAAAGGTGGAGGTGTAATACAAACATCGGCCAGCGAATGCGTCTTGGTTACCATGTTAGCAGCTAGGAACCAGGCTATTCAATACCTCAAAAGAGACCATCCATCGACAGTTGATAGTGAGTTTCTACCTCAATTGATTTGTTATTGTTCCAAAGAAGCTCATTCTTGTGTCGAAAAAGCAGCAAAAATTTTATTGGTACAGATAAAAATCTTAGATACAGATGAAAATGGTTCTTTAAGGGGAGAAACTTTAAGAGATGTAATGGAAAAAGACAAAGCCAACGGATTGTTTCCGTTTTTCGTATCAGCTATCCTGGGCTCAACTTCGAGCTGTTCGTTTGACAATTTAGAAGAAATAGGACCTGTATGTAGGGAACAAGCCTGCACTTGGCTCCATGTAGATGCTGCTTACGCTGGAAATGCGTTCATCTGTCCAGAACTAAAATATTATCTTAAAGGTGTAGAATACATAGATTCTTTTAACACAAATCCTAACAAATGGTTACTTACAAGCTTCGATTGTTCTTGTTTATGGGTTAAAAATAGGTATAGACTTACTAGTGCCTTAGTTGTAGATCCTTTATACCTTCAACACGCCAACTCAGATGAAGCTATAGATTATAGACATTGGGGAATTCCATTGAGTAGACGATTTAGATCTTTAAAATTATGGTTTGTTATTAGAAAATATGGATTATCAGGTCTTCAAAAATATATTAGAAATCATATTAATTTAGCTAAACATTTCGAATCTTTAGTAAGGAAAGACAAAAGATTTGAAGTAGTGAACGATGTTCAATTAGGTTTAGTTTGCTTCAGATTAGTAGCTCCAGATATAGTTAACCAAAGTCTACTAGCTACTATTAATGCTTCAGGAAAACTACACATGATACCATCGATGGTTAAAGAAAAATATATAATAAGATTCTGCGTTACAGCAGAAAATGCTACACAAGAAGACATAGAGCATGCTTGGAGGGTAATAACAGAGCATACGTCTGAATTGCTGAGCAGAAAATCTATCAGAAACCAAGTATTCTTCAGACCTCCCCTTACCAGGCAGAAGTCCAAGAGGCTATCATTCACCAGAAGCGTATCGAAAGAGATGTACCAACGTTCCAAAAGCAGGTCCAATCTCGCCGATGGTGCTACTCCGATCCTCGTGGTTGACTCTGATGAGGAACATGAACTTAATCAAGATGCAATTTTGGACGTACTTACTAGTAATGTTAACATGGACGATGATGTATTCAACAAAGATTGTGATGATAGTTTTAGAATTCAACCTACAAGTCCAACTGAGATAGCTTGCAACGGGATTTAATTTGCATTTTCATGTGAATTATTATATTGAGTGAGAGCATTTGTTTGAACAATAATTTATTTTTATTACAAATGTTAATATTAAGTTCAGTATTACTAGATAAAGTAACTTTTTCTATTTATTTTGGGTACTTCAAATGTATGTGTAAATAAATTATTTTTTGTATAAATAAACAAATTTGTTTTATCATTCCTATTAAAACTTAATAACCATATTTTCAGCTTCTTTTCTGATTACATTAGTAAAATTAAAAGTCTCATAACAATAAGGAAACAGAAAAAATATTGAACATATTTATTCGATTCACATAAACTAAAATTTTCTAAATTACTAGAAATCACTATTTTGGAAAATGAAACTAAGATTTTTATCTACAAAGAAATAAAAATCGAAAATCCACATTAAAACTGTTACAATATGTTGGCAATCAGGTAAACAAGTATTTTTGACTATATTTATGTTGATTAACTGAAAAAGTAAACCTCAAAATCAATACTAAAGGATAGATAAAGAATGGCATACGAAAAATGTTCAGTCTCAACGTCCAGTGTACAGGCTGCAAATATATCTAATGACAACCCACGTCCAGTAATATCTGTCACCTCTAAAATATACGTGTTATTATACAGGGCATCCCCATTAATGCGTAATTGTTCAATATTACGATTTGTGTTATAGATAAGCCAACAAGTTTCAAATAAAAGTTATATGGTTTTAAGAAATACGTATAAAAATATATCTGGATATACAGGGTGTTGCGTTTTTGCCTGGCAGTATATTTTTTAGATTGAACACCCTATATTTTATTTCAGTTTTAGAATGATTTAGTAATACTGTCTTCAACCCTAAAATTTTTTTTAATAAAATTACAGGGTTGCCAGGCAATTAATTTTTTTAATAAATTAGAGAATGATGCATTCCCCAAAATAAATTATCATAATTTAGGTAGGTTTACAATGATTTAAAAATTGTTTAAAATACAGACTTATAAGACAGTAAGCTAACGAATAGTGGTAATAGAACTGGAATATTTCAGTGCTTTGCTAGGGCTAATTTTAAGTTCAATGTACTTAATTTATTCAAATGTAACACCCTGTATACTATTTTATCATAAAATATCTTATACATTTGCCTATCTAACGATACCAACATGTAAACCAATAACAAATATATAGACATTTTTAATATAAAAGTTGTATGACCATATTTAACAATTATTCTTAAATACAAAGGGTGTTCCATAAACGAGGTGCTGACCAAACCTATACTTTTTTAAAGCAAAACACCCTGCAGATAGTTATACGTATTTGATTGTTTTAACATCGTCAAACAGTTTTAATTGATTTTATTTATTTGCTATGTTGTATATAGGGTATGTCAAAACGCAAGGTTACGATTTCTCAATATTTTATCTGGAATATCCCGTATTAATTAATTGGTGGTATAACATATTCCATTTAAAAAATTAAGAAAATTGTAACCTCGCATTTTGACACACCCTATATACAAATGAATTAAGTCAATTAAAATGGTGTGACGATTTGAAAACAATATGTATACCTACCTGCAGGGTACTTTGCTTTAAAAAAGTATCGGTTTGGTCAGCACCTCGTTTATGGACCACCTTGTATATTTAAGATTAATTGTTAAATATGGTGATAAAACTTTTGTATTAAATTTTTTTTCACATTTCTAATAATACAACAGGTATCGATCAATTACATACTCATAGGACACCCTGTATATGTGTAATTGGCTAACATGTGGGTATCGTTGGATAGGTAAATGTATAAGAAATTTTATTGAAAAAATTGAGTAAATTGAACTTAAAATTAGCCATATTTAAGACATGTTTCAAAACACTCTGTATAAAATAAACCAGTTCTATCACCACTATTTTTCAGTTTAGTATCTTGTAAGTCTGTATTTTAAACAATTTTTAAATCATTGTAAACCCCTAAATTATAATGATTTCATGAAAAAATTAATTACTTGGCAACCCTATTATATTAAAAAAAAATTGGGGTTGACGACAGTATCACCAAATAATTAATTCTAAAACTGAAATAAAATAGAGGATGTTTAATTTAAAAAATAAACATTTTTATTTGCCAGGCAAAAACGCAACACCCTGTATATCCAAAAATATTTTTAAAATACATATTTTTTGAATCCATATTACTTTTATTTGAAACATGTTTGCGTATCTATAACACAAATTGAAATATTGAACAATTACGCACTAATTGGACACGTATATAAACAGCGGTTTATGACAATATATCGTAGGTTTTAAATTGGGCCTTAGACAAAGATTTTGTAACAACCAAGTAGTCTAAATTACCACGGCTGTCAAAAACTGTAACAACTAACTAGTCTATAAAACCATATGTAACAACTAATAGGTCTTTAGCTGCTGTTGTCAATATACTATTAAGGGATAAAGGCAACACTGTGACCAGTCAAAGGGTCCTGGAGCTCGGAAGGAACATCCATTCAACAGTGGCATATAAAAATTAAAAAGAAAACAAAATTATCCCTTAATAGCATAGTCGAACGGCTTTGGCAACTAGTCCTTAGGAGTAAAACACAAATGCTCGGTATATTTTATAACTCGTTTTGGAAAGGGGAAGGGAAAAAAATATTAAGTGAATGAAAAATAACTTATACAGTGAGCATCATAAGTCTTACCCCCCCCCCTAACTAACTCGTTACTGGGGTCTTGTTAGGAAAATCTCCGAGATTTTTGATTTCTACAATGTACATTTTTTTATAATGAGTTTACCCTTAATTTCATCCCTTACTGGAGGGTAGCAACCCTTTCGAAAAATTTAAATGGCATGGGGTGGTGAGTGATAGCTCATTTGAAAGGGGGTTTTATTCTCTATTCAACCGTGCAAAAAAATTTGAAATTTGCTTCATTACGTGTTGATTTATTAATGTTTAAAAATAACAAAACCTCACAAAATAGGAAAGCAACTAGACTAACAGTGACCTTCTAATGGCAAAAAGTCTTACTTCACGTCTGAATCAAAACCGAAATCATGCAGGGCCGAATTTTAATTCTAAGGATGAGTGCGCTACGTTAATTTCCGTTATTCTGAAACAACAATTAGTCGAGAATTAATGAAGCAAATTTCAAATTTTATTACAAGGCTGAGTAGAGAATAAAACCCTCTTTCAAATGAGCTATCACTCACGACCCCATGCTATTTAAATTTTTCAAAAGGGTTGCTCCCCTCCAGTAAGGGATGAAATTAAGGGTAAACTATTCATACAAAAATGTACATTGTAGAAATCAAAAATCGACGTGTCTCGGCGATTTTCCTAACAAGACTCCAGTAGCGAGTTAGATGGGGGGGTAAGACTTATGGTGCTCACTGTATATATTTAAAACAAAATGACTAATAGTCTTAAGAATAAATAAACAATTTAAATTTAGGGAATAAAGCAGCAAATATATAAGACAACCTATGATATACGATAGGTAGAGAACTTCTCATTTGATTATATGATTTGGACTTATTAACAAATCATATTCATTAAATAGTTAAATTATATAATATGATAAATATAAGATATATAAACTTGGGAAGAAAATTAAAAAAATTTAGCATTTATATGAAATTCAATAAATTAATTAGCAAAACAACATCATCTTCATTCCGAACATTAGTTTGAAGTGTCCCATCTTGTTAAATGTTCATAGTTATTTTCTTTAGATATTTTTGAAGTTATAAATTTATAGAGCAATTATTTTATTTTATTTTACATTTTGATTTTTAAGTTTCCTCCCATATTTTAGGCGGTTAAAGTGATACAAATATTTTTTTGCTAATCTAAGCTACGTGCACACAGCCGTTATGCACTTTTGGTTCCTTTAATAAATTAATTGTGTCAAAACAAAACCAAACAACACTTTTAAAATATGTTAACGTAATTAAAAATTGAATGTGTCCAACACATGACTTTCCTATCTAGTTATTATAGACTTTTTCGGTTATTTTGTACAACCTATTGCATCACCTCTATAAATGTTTAGAGAATTAACTAAATATATACATTTTCCACATACATCTAACTCGAATTTTTTTTTATATATCATTGCCAACGAAAATACTGATAAATTCAAATTTTACAATTTTCCTCCAATTTTTGAATTACGGTCCATTTTAGAGAATTCCCGTATAAAACAAAAATTATAGAGATAGATATCGCAAACAACTTTTGGTTTAACATTTTTCTTAGAAACTTTGTTTTTTTATCAAATTTCTCGAATGCGAACCGTTTTAGATAAATCATGTAGGAAACAAAAATGAAATCGTAATCAACTTTTATTAAACATATTTTCTTCTCCAAAAGTAAATAACAGATATATTCCATAAAATATAAAATCGACGCCTATAAAATCCCCCCAGATGTTCCGACTATGCCAAAAAAAATCTGATCAGTTCACGTAGGCCAAAATAAAGATCAAGCTTAAAATTTGGTGATTTTCTCTTTATCCGTTCTTAAGTTTTCTTCAAAATTCGAAATTTACACATTTTCTCAAATATCTCGAATACGATCCATGTTACAGAAATTATGTATGGAACAAGAATTATAGAAAATAATATAAGAAGTAACTTTTATTTCAATACGTGTGTTTTCTTTTTGATTATTTAGTTAAAACATTAAATTATAGTTTGTGCAACTATTTGCGTGTTTGTGTGTTGTGTGTGTTTCTGTATTTTTGTGTATGTGTGTGTGTTTGAGTGTGTGTTTGTATATGTTTGTGTGTATTTCTGTGTATTTCTGTGTATTTCTGTGTATTTATGTGTATTTCTGTGTATTTCTGTGTATTTCTGTGTATTTCTGTGTATTTCTGTGTATTTCTGTGTATTTCTGTGTATTTCTGTGTATTTCTGTGTATTTCTGTGTATTTCTGTGTATTTCTGTGTATTTCTGTGTATTTCTGTGTATTTCTGTGTATTTCTGTGTATTTCTGTGTATTTCTGTGTATTTCTGTGTATTTCTGTGTATTTCTGTGTATTTCTGTGTATTTCTGTGTATTTCTGTGTATTTCTGTGTATTTCTGTGTATTTCTGTGTATTTCTGTGAATTTCTGTATATTTCTGTGTATTTCTGTGTATTTCTGTGTATTTCTGTGTATTTCTGTGTATTTCTGTG